CAGCGCCCAGGGCCAGAATTCAGGCTCCACAACTGGACCTCCCTCCCCCCTGCCCCTCCCCCCAAAAAAAGAGTCTCACAGACTTTCCTGCTCAGGCTAGCTTTGAACCGTGATCCTCAGATCTCAGCCTCCTGAGTAGCTAGGATGACAGGCATGAGCCACCGGTGCCTGGCAACAGTAACATTTTTTATCTATCTTTTTAGCCTTTTTTGTATTTGTATATATTTATGTGTTTGTGTGTATATTTTAAATGTTAATATGAGGCTAATTCAATTTTTAATAAACTGTATAAGGCATTAGTGAGTTACTACCAAGTGAATACACTTGAGTAAGAACTACTTACTTGATTGAGACCTTGCCTGTACTAGAAGCGTTGTTTCCCCATTCTCAACACAATCCCTTCTTCTCCCATCTATGTAGATTTGGAGCTTCCTTTTTCCATTTTACAGTTTATTATAGAATTAGCATTTTCCTTATTGTGGAATGGTTTTTTCACAGCTGTGTAGCTCCATAACAAAGTGGGCGTAACCCACTTCTCAGGCAGTATTTTGGGGAAGTCCTGGGAACTGGAAATTTTGGGCATGAGGGCCTTGACAGGCTGCTGTTTAGTCTTTAGTTCTGAGTGCACCCGGGTTCCTGTCTCAACGAGTTCATCTATCTGTGTCCAGCCCTGTGACTGCTGCACAATTTTCAGACAATCTGCTCCGGCCCTTTCTCATTCATATCATGTCGGTGCCTGCCCTCGTGACTCATCTTGGCACAGTGACCCCAGAGGTAAGTGGGCTCCATGAGCATTCCCCCCAAAACCGACACTGTTTTGCTTTTGTTCTTAGAATTTGGAAAGTAAAAGGATTTCCCTGCCAGTTCTCACTCCTTCCCCTTTTCTCTACATCAGTAACCAGTGTAGATAGATTCGTGTTAGGAGCCCGGTGCAATGTTGGGTCTTGTCCTGATCCTTTCTCTTCTTGGTGCTGGAGATCATGCTCTGCATCACCATGGCGACCAGCAGTCTGTCAAGTTTTGTGTCTTCAGGGAAACTTGGTCAGTTTCCACTTTTAACTGTCTGCTGTCATTTGCCATTTGTAGCGCCTCACTGTCTTAGAATCTCATGACATGCTACGGAAATTCATCGTGTTCTTAAGAGATGAAGAGCGATGCCGGGACGTGTGTGAGACGTTGGAAGGCTGCCACACGCTCTGTCTGACTGGTGAGTATTGGAAGATTCTGGCCATTGAGGGAAGCCCCAGTATTTTGCTGCAATCATCAGTTTTTAGTAACAACACGAAGTACTTATTATAAGTACCTGTATTCAGAGAGGTAGTTAAGGTAGATGCAAAGTTAAAAATGATCTGGAAAACTGGCCTGACATGCTAGATGTCTTGACTATAAGGGAACACTGGATTTCAGCTCTTGGCTTTTTAGGGACCAAGGGAAAATTGAAAGTTGATGAGTAGCCTAGGTGATTCAGAAGGAAAGAGGAGGGAGCCTTGAAGTGAGCCTTAAATTGAAGGAGCCCCCAAAGTGCCTCACCTCTTCTGCAGTGCTTTCACTTAGACGAAGGAAGGGCTTGCGAAAGTGTTGGGAAATGGTGGAGGCAGAATCCTCCCTGCCTGTGAGGAGAAGTTTAGATAGAGAAGGGATCTTGGGGCTGAATTTTAAGCGACTGTCTGGTAAGTCTACACACAGGGGATATTAAGGGATTGGTAAACACTGGATAGCAAAAAGTTCAGTCACTCATTTCCTGCCCATTCATTTTAATGTTGGTGTCATAAGTGTGATAGTAAATGTCACATTCGTCTGTGCACCTGACACTGCACACTCTTCATACCATACTCCCATGAGGAAGAGGGGGTCATTATTCAACCTAGGAGATAAGGAAACACAGTCAACAGACACATCTTTGTCTGGTCAAGCCACAGTTTGCAGTCGTACTGACAAATGCCTCTCACATGAAATCTCTTCCTGCACATACCCTGTGGCTGCCTGAGTCACAGGCAGAAAACACGGCTGGGAGACCCCTGAGCATGTCTGTCTAGCCCATCACTCGGCCTTCTCTCTGTATAGGCAACCTCCTACAGCTGGGCTCCCTCAACCCCAGAGTGTTAGAAGAGGAAACAGACGGGTTTGTGAGCCTGCTCACCCAGATGCTGTGCTACTGTCAGAAGTATGTGTCCCAGAAGAAGTCCAACCTGACCCACTGGCATCCAGTCCTCGGCTGGTTCTCCCAGTCTGTGGACTATGGGTAAGTAAGTCCTGGAGATGCATGGCTGCCTTTCCTGCCCTTCTTCTTGCTACCCCTCTCTTGTTTATTTCTTCCAGCTGCTGTTGTTTGTTTCTTGTTACAAAAATAGTGTGCATTCTTTGTATAAAATAGAGGTAAGGACTGAGGTTGTATCCATAGGAACACAGTTGAATAGCATGGCTGAGGTGTCCAGGGTTCTATCCCTAGTACCACAAAAAAATAAAATAGTAAAAGAAAGAAAAAAAAAATAGAAGCCTGGCGTCAGTGGCTCACGCCTGTAATCCTAGCTACTCAGGAGGCTGAGATCTGAGGATCGTGGTTCAAAGCCAGCCTGGGCGGGAAAGTCTGTGAGACTCTTATCTCCAATAAACCACTAGAAAACCGGAGGTGGCACTGTGGCTCAAGCCGTAGAGTGCTTGCCTTGAGCTGAAGAGCACAGGGACAATGCCCAAGCCTAGAGTTCAAATCCCATGACCAACAACAAAAAAGAAAAAATAGAGATAGGACCCAGACAATAGTTAATAACTCATAATGCTAATGCCCAAAGGTGACCTTTCAGCATTTTTCTTTTTCTTTTATTTTCCTATCCTGGGGCTTAAACTCAGAGCCTGGCTGCTATCCCTGAGCTTTTTGTGTTCAAGGCTAGCCCTCTACCACTTGAGCCACAGCTTCACTTCCAGCTTTTTTGGTGCTTAATTGGAGATAAGAATCTCATAGACTTGCCTGCCTAGGCTGGCTTTGAAGCTTAATCCTCAGATATCAACCTCCTGAGTAGCTGGAATTACAGGCAATCCTCAGATATCAACTTCCTGAGTAGCTGGAATTACAGGTATGAGCCACCAGCACCTGGCTTCTTTCAGCCTTTTTCAGTGATGATAGTTTTTCTTATAAAAATAAGATCATTAGGCTGGGAATGTGGCTCAGTAGTAGAGTGCTTTCTTTGCATGCATGAAGCCCTGGGTTTGATTCCTCAGCACCACATAAACAGAAAAAGCCAAAAGTAGCACTGTGGCTCAAGTGATAGAGCGCTAGCCTTTAGCAAAAAGAAGCTCAGGGACAGCGTCCAGGCCCTGAGTTCAAGCCCCAGGATCAGGGGAAAAAAAAGAGAGAGAAAGAGAGAGAGAGATCATATGATTTTGTATTTTATTCTTCTCATTAATCAATTGTGAACCTAATGTGTGGATGCTTTTTCTTCTTCAACATCATTTTTATTGATTGCCTGGGCTGCTATATTTTGGAGCTGCTAGAACGAGACAGATGATTGAAAGGGACAACAGTTACCCTTGTCCTTTACAGGAGGTAGAAATCAACTTTGCCCTTCCTCATTCAGAACAGAAGCAATGGAAACATTAGGGAAGAGCCAGAGCACCAGGGTGGATGAGCTGAGCAGAGGCTGGGGCTGAGGCAGGGCTAAGCCAGTGGTGCCACCTTTTCCCTTCAGCCTAAGTGACAGCCTGGAGAGAATGGGGCTTGTGTGCTTGGAGTCAGGAGAGATTTCCTAGGGACCAAGTGTTCTGGGCTCCACTACCTCTTCCCAAGGGCCTTTAGCTCAGGTTCCTCATCTGGAGTATGAGATGATCGTTCTAGCCCCTCTGGCAGGATAATCTTGAAGGATGGAATGAGACAGACACTACACATGAAATATATTGCACACATTGCATGGAGAGGGTTACCAACTGGTTTGTGCTCAGTAGGTGGCGGCTGTCCCCACTGGGGAGGGGGAGGGAGCCAGCTGGGGCCTTGAGCCAGACAAGTAATGCAGAAGATTCCACGAATGGGCACACACTTGGGGCATTGTCTGGAATGGAGAGGAGCCCTAGAGGCATGGATGCTCTGAGCCGTCTAGCTGGAGACTAGGGAGAGGCAGGCAGCCGGCACAAGGCAGTGGTAAGGGGTCTGCAAGATGACACTGACCTGGGGAAATCAATTGTGCTAGAAGCAGCACAGGAAGTCTGGGTGGAACAGTACACAAGATTCCTTATCCTGCTGGTCAGCAGTGACTCACGCCTATAATCCTAGCTACTCAGGAGGCTGAGACCTGAGGGTCATGCTTTGAAGCCAGCCCAGGTAGAAAAAGTCTGTGAGACTCATATCTTCCATTTAACTATTAAAAAGCCAAAAGTGGAGCTGTTGCTCAGGTGGTAGAGTGCTAGTCTTCAGCAAAATCTCAGGGACAGTACGCAGGCCCTGAGTTCAAGCCCCAGGACCTGCACACACACAAAATTCCATGTCTTCACATATTTGGCCCTTGGTGGTTGGGCTGGTCCATTTCATATTTTTTGTTTTTGTTTGTTTGTTTTGAGACAGGGTCTTACTTTATAGCCCAGTCTGGTCTTGCTTCATCTGTCTCTGCCTCCTGAGCACTGGGATTACAGGTGTGGATCACCACATCTGGCTCAATTCTTATCTTTTTATTAACTTCCCTGCCCTGGGAATGCTGGCTGCATTTGCATGATGAAGGCTCACAGGGGAATGGAGTGGGCCAGACAGCTGGCCAGGCAGAGGTGGGGCTGACATGCTTGTCTCCTGCTCCTCTCTCCCAGCCTCAATGAGTCCATGTACTTGATCACCAAACAGCTGCAGTTCCTGTGGGGGGTGCCTCTCATCCGCATCTTCTTCAATGACATCCTCAGCAGGAAGCTACTGGAACACCCAGAGCCAGCCCCCGCTCAGCCGGCGTCCCCCCAGAACGTGCTCCCCATGAAGAGTGAGTGACAAATGAGCCCTAGTACTCTTAGTAGCTGGAGGGCACTTCCTGTTTCTTCCCCTGGGGAGGCCTCATCTCTGTGAGTTGCTCTGACTTCTCCTATGGACATTCCAGGGTGACTTAAATCAAGGCCATAGTTAGCAAGACAATGACAAGAAACCATAGGAATAGAAAGCAGCCAGTTGTCTGTAAGGAACAGCCACAAATACATATTCTACAAGGGCTGTTGCTGCCTTTTTCTGAACCTTAGTTTGGCTGTTAACTTTCTAGTGTCCAAAAGAAGGGGGGGGGGAACATTCCTTAGGGAACTCAAAGCTTTTCTGGTTCTTAATCATAGAAGAGCCACTGAGTCAGGTGCTGGCGCTCACACCTAACTACTCAGAAGGCTGAGATCTGGGGATCATACGCTAAAGCCAGCCTGGGCAGAAAAGTCTGTTTGCAATAAACCAGCAAAAAGTCAGAAGTGGAAGTGTGGCTCAAATGATAAAGCTAAAGCCAAGTGAGTGTACAAGGCCCTGAGTTCAAACTCCAGAACTAGTGCAAAAAAAAAAAAAAAAAAGCTGAGTCCCAACTCCTCAGCACTTATTCTGCAGGGCAGAAGTGGGTACTGTGGAAAGATTCCTTGCTCACACTCTGATAAAAGTTAAGGAAATGCCAGCCGGATGTGGTGGCACACATCTGTAATCCTAGCAGCTAGGAAGATTACCAATTCTAGGCCAGCCTACACTACAGAGGAGACCCTGTCTCAAACAAATCAGACCAACCATAATCCAAAGTTAAGGAAATGTGACTAGCATATGCTGTATAGAGCTACCTCCCATAGCACATTCTGTTTGGCATGGCTTTGCTACCACTATGTATTGTGTGGCTGTTTCTTCTAACTGGTGATGGACATGACCTGAGCATCTGTACTGCAGGATACAGGTAGGAGGCTTAAGACAAAAGTAGAAAACCACTCCAGACCATGAGTCAGTTTCCTGGCCACCAATACCCCTAAACCCCTCCCTGCCAAAGCCTAGAGAACTGAGATTCAGATGGGCTCCCACCTTTACCTCCTCCCCTAGTATGCTCCTTTTGAGTTTTTACCTTTGGGATAATAAAAGAATCCTATATCAGACTCAAACATGCCTGACGTGTTCTAAAAAGAGTGTTGATATTTTGAAGAGGTCTTGGGTTACACCTCAAATCCATTCACTAAACATTCTTCCAGTTTATCCTGCAGGACTGTGCTGAGCCCAAGCAGCAGCCCTGCTGTGTGGCCTGGCTGTAGGGTTGGTGTTGGGGAGTTTTTATCAACACTCCTTTGCCCAGACCAGATAGGATACAGCAGATGGCTCAACTTCTGTTGATGTCTTCTCTCTTCTATGTCAGGTCTCCTCAAGCGTGCATTCCAGAAGTCTGCGTCGGTTCGGAATATTCTAAGGCCAGTAGGGGGCAGACGTGTAGACTCTGCGGAGGTGCAGAAAGTGTGCAACATCTGTGTCCTCTACCAGACCTCCCTGACCACGCTCACCCAGATCCGCCTGCAGATCCTCACAGGTGGGAGGCCCGGGGTGCTGCCCCCTCTCGCAAACGTCACACCGGTTTTTCTCAGAGAAAGTTCTTTTTTTCTTGACTCAAAAGATTAAATTTTGAGCTGGAGGCATGACTCAAGTTATCCAGTGCCTGTCAGCAAGCACAAAGCCCTGAGTTCAAATCCTGCCACCCAGTGAAAGACAAAAATGTAATTTTTGAAGGGAGGTGTTTTTAAGCTGTTTTTTGTTTGTTTGTTTCTTTTTGGAGATAGGTATGCCTCCGATAACTTATACCAGCCCTGCTTTGGTTGCTCTCACCTGGCTCTTAATTTTAGTTATGAAGTACAATTTTAACAAGTTATTTTTTTTCTGACTAGAACCTTAGGAAAGACTAACAGGCAGAAAGAAGTAATAATTTCACAACCCAAAGACAAACAGTATACCTGAGTATGCTACACCTACAATAGAAATATTTAAACTAACATGTCATCCCCCTTCCTTCACTAGCCATTTTATAAACATTTTCTCATGTCGGTAATTCTCTTCAGAAACCTCATTTCATTGGCCATATGGTATCTCATCTCATGGGTAGGCCCAACAGTTTTGTTTTTTTTTTTTGTTTTTTTCCTTTTAGCTGAGCAAGCAAAGTCTCTTCTATAAGCACAGAATTGGGTGTCAGGACTTTGTAGGGTACAGCTCAGCAGTTCTGGAGAGGAGTTGGTATTCTGAGCACAAAAGGTCTTTGTGAGCTGTGAAAGCTTTTGAAGGATTAAAAGTTTCTCTGCTGTGTTGCCTAGTTTTGAAATCCTGTGCCAGGCGCTGTGGATGTAGAGGTGGACACTAGCCAAGGGCTGTCCCTGAGGGGAGTATCTTGTAGAATGGTGAGAATGGCTGTATGGAGGGGAAGGTGTAAAGAGGGCACCATGAAAAGGAAAGGTAACCTTGGCCTGGAGTGGGCTTTGTGAGCTGAGTAGTACAGTTGCCTCAGGCCAGCTTCTCTTTATTGTAAGGCTGTCCTGTGTTAGAAGAAGTCTGCCAGCGAGGCACCCGGTGGCTCATGCCAATCATCCTGCCTACTCAGGAGGCAGAGATCTGAGCATCACCGTTTAAAGCCAGCCCAGGCAGAAAAGTCCCTGTGAGATTCTTAGCTCCAATTAATCACTCAAAAACTACAAGTGGACCTGTGGATCAAAATGGTAGAGCGATAGCCTTGAGTAAAAAGAGCTCAGGGACAGCACCGAGGCCCTGAATTCATGCCTCACAGCCAGGGAGAAAAAAGAAGGCAGCCAGCCCTGTGCAGTAGCACCTCCTCACAGTTGCATCGGCCTCGGAGGTGGCTGAATGGTCCCAGGCTGAACGCCTTGGTCTGGTGGAGGCATTAGAGCTGGAAGCACAGACTGCATTTCAGAGATGCTGTCTGTAGACTTCCTGGGAAAATGGATTGCGGGTGTGAGGAGTAAAGGTAGAAAAGTGGTCCTAGGTTTGGGGTCTGAGTATAGATGGTGGAGAAGGGGCATGGCCTGTGGGGAACTGAGAGTTGTGTTGGACCGGGATAGAGTAGGTGCTAGCCTGCACATTGGGGTAACCAAGGCCTCTGTGCACACTGCCTTGAGCAAGGTCCTGGGAGAGACCAGAGGAGGAGAAGAAAGCAGAGACCATACACGGCTGGGGCTCCAAAGCACTTGAGGGCCTGGGAGCATCTTGGAGCGAGAACTTTGAGGTTACTGCCTGGGTCCAGCTCTCTAAAATGAGCTCATAGCTCAGTTCATTTTCCCAAAAGAGAGAGTCACAAAATAAGTGTTTTGGCCAATATGAAAATCCATATTTAAGTCAGATTATAGAAAATAGTATCTTCCCAGGTACCAGTGGTTCATGCTATCATCCTAACCACTTATGAGGCTGAGATCTGAGGATCACAGTTCAAAGCCAACCTGAACAGGAAAAGTTCATGAGACTTACCTTCAAGGAACCACCCAAAAAGCCAGAAGTGGAGGTGTGGCTCAAGTGGTAGAGTACTAACCTTGAGCAAAAATGCTCAGGGACAGTGCCCAGACCCTGTGTTCAAGGCCCTAGGACCAGCACAAAAGAAAGGAAAGGAAGAGGGAGGCAGGCAAGCAAGCAGCTTCTAAAATACTGCTTTTGTAATCTCACAGCTAAGGATAGGTCTCTGATCTGGCTCCTCGAATGCCCCCAAGGCACCAGAGCTGTGCTGGTCCTCCTCCTCGCTCCAGGGCACAGCATCCCTGCTGTGGCTAAAGCGCAGGGCAGTGGAAGTCCACGAGGAGCCTGGCTTAATGTATACTTTGATCCCATTCCTGAGGTTACGTTTCTAAGTCCAATTTGCAATTCTTTCTATTCACCTCTAAGCAGCCTTCAGTAGCATTCAGTGGCCCACAGCCTCACCCCACACTACTGTGTCTACCCCCACAGAACCAAAGAACTCACGGAAGACTTTATAACATGAGAAGAGTAAGGGCTCAAATATAAGTTACTGCTTTGCTGATGCATGCAACCTTACTATCCAGACTTCCTAAGTCACCAGCTGCACTGTAACTTCAAACACACCAGCCATGAGTCAGTCTGAAGCCTCAGAGCCTCAGGAAGCAGACTTGAAATGGCTTCTGCTCCCCAAGGTTAAATCTATATAGCCCAGTGTCTCTATTACAGTCCTTCATCACTTTTCCATGTGGAATTCAGAGTAATCATAGATGAGAGGAACATATTACTAAATGTGGGTGGATCTGACGGTGAGAGACAGGTGTCTGCCTGTGGCCCCAAGCCAGCACACCACTGATTTTTGTAAATTAACTTGTATTAGACCACAACCAAATCCGTACATTTACAGAATGTCTGCGTCTGCTTTGGGCTAGCCTTGAGCAGTATGCAGATGCCCACATCCTGTGCCCTCACCTGATGACCACACCCTACCTTAGCCTGCAAAGTCACTGGAAGCCTGACTTAGGAGAAGATAATTGGAACATACTGCTAAGCCAAACAGAGCAGCAATCTACAGTCAGCCCCTGGCAGCCCACTGAGCCCATGTTCAACATAAAGAAAGCACTGAGCTAGAATAAAGGCTGCCCGCCCACCTTCAGAGACTCTGAAAACCTCTGCTGGTCCAGCACGGCCCAGGATGCCAGTCATTCTTTGCTCAATTAAACTCTGCTAGATTTAATTTGTTTCAAGGTTTTTTTTAATTATGATTATAGCAAGAGACCATCTGGCCCACAAAGTCTAAAAACATTGACTCTCTGAACCTCTCCAGAAGAAACTTGCTGATCCAAAATATAATTGCTAAGACAGATAGATCTGGGTTCTCCTCCTGGCTCTGCTGCTTACTGGCTCACACCCATTCAACATTAGGATCATTGTGATACTCTCAGTGGTGGTTTTCTGATTTGCACACGTTGACTGTTCACTAAGAGGTTTCAGTGCTTGTTTTTCCAAGGGAAAAAAGACACAGCGGGTCAGCTGGAGCCCCCACCTGAAGCTTGGGTTTCTCTGTCCTTTTCCAGGTCTCACTTACCTTGATGACCTGCTGCCCAAACTGTGGGCATTTATCTGTGAGCTGGGGCCCCATGGAGGGTTAAAGCTCTTCTTGGAATGCCTGAACAACGACACCGGAGAGTCCAAGCAGCTCTTGTCCATGCTGATGCTGTTCTGTGATTGTTCCCGACACCTCATCACGTAGGTTGCTGTGTGGGGCCAAGGACCTACCCCTAGTTGACATGGTGGGAAGCAGGCGGCCGATGGGGGGATCACCACAGACATGTGGACCTGTGTGACAGGATCAATGTAGGAATTAGGCAGGAGATGGGTGCAGTGGTACACACCTGTAGTTCCAGCTATTCAGAAGGCTGAGGTGGGAAGATCACTTGAGTTCATGATCACTTGAGACCAGGCTAGAGCAATGTAGCAAGATCCCATCTCAAAAACAAAAAGTGCTGGGAATGTGGCTTAGTGGTAGAGTGCTTGCCTAGCATGCATAAAGCCCTGGGTTCGATTCCTCAGCACCACATAAGGAAAAAGAAAAAAGCCAGAAATGGTGCTGTGGCTCAAGTGGTAGAATGCTAGCCCTTGAGCAAAAGCAGCTCAGGGACAGTGCCGAGGCCCTGTGTTCAAGCCCCAGGACTGGCAAAAAAAAAACATAGGATAGCATATACTGCATGTACATCACTTGTTCCTATCCTATCAGGGAAGTTGAATCAGTACCAATCAACAGATCAAGTGAGCTCTTAGAAATGGGTTCAAAATCACAGCTTAACTGTTTACTTATTAATGTGCTAGGAAGACTACTGGAAAATTCCAGAGCCAGAGAACAAAACCTGAATCAGCCAGTTACTGAGACAATCCTGGGATTCGGCCTTGCTGAGAGTTTCCTCTTCCAGAAATAGGAATAACAACATGACCTTCCTGTTAGGCATGTAGTAAAGATTAAGAGAGAATTAATGCCAAGTTTGGGCAAGTTGCTTAGCTTCTCTGAGCCTCAGTTTTTGATTAGTAGAATAGAGATATCACCAATCTGCTAGAGTCAGTGAGGGAAGGAATGTCAGGTACTTAAAACTGAGTATTTGTCAAAAACTTAGTACTTCATTCCAAGTGGGAAATTGATTGTGTACTCGTCCATGTGTGCATTTGACCCTTTTACTCTGCTTTCTCCTGGAAGGTTGGTAAAGAATTTTAAGATAGAGTAGGTCTCCAGCAGTTACATTCAAGCAAGAGAGGATCAGAGAGCCGGAAGTTACAGGTGGAGTGGGCATCATTGAAGGGCTCAATGAGCAGGCGGAGGCCAGAGCAGGGTCTATAGGCCAGGAAAGGCACCACTTTCAACTGCTAAGGTCCAGGCCATTCCTGGAGTGAGTCGTGTTGGAAAGTCTAGTTTTAGGGAGAGCTGTATCTCACGTGTTCATTCATTTATTCATATATTCTTTCTGACATGTGTTCATTCCCTCACAAATACTTGTCATGTGCTGGAGTCAAGCTCCACAGCCTTCCTCAGTGAACACACTCAGTCACGGTTTCTTCCTCTTCCGGCAGAGGCTTGAAGTAAGAAAGTGTTGGTTTTTTTCTTTTTTCTTTTTTGTTGTTGTTTTTAATTGTCCTAACCAGGACTTGAACTTGATATCTGATGCATACTTTCGCCTGCCAGTAAGAAAAATGTAGGAATAGAGGTTTGGTAGGGTTTCTCTTAGTTGTATTTTTTTAATATAGCTACTGTGGACAGTTTCACATAAAGAGAAAGCAGAAAGACTCAATGAAGCCCATGTACCACCACTAGCTTTGGCAGCTACCAGCTCACAGCCAGTCCAATGCCAACCAAATCACCACGGGCCCCCTCACCCAAATTATTTCCAATCACTTCTTAGGATCGCATTGTTTGATCTGTAACTTGAAGGAAGCAGCTCCATAAAATGGAGCTTATCTATTAACTTTGTTTTGTCTAAAAGTAGTAAGTTTTGTTTTTTTTATTATATCTTCTCGGGAAAATTCTGTCTTTTCTGTCTGATACAGGATCCTTGATGACATTGAAGTTTATGAAGAACAAATTTCCTTCAAACTGGAAGAGCTGGTCACCATCTCCTCTTTTCTGAATTCCTTTGTGTTTAAGATGATCTGGGATGGAATCGTAGGTAAGATATAGGTACCCATCGTAGAGGTCAAAGTCTGTAACTTCAGTTGGCTCTTAGCTTTGTGTTATCTACCCAAATTAATAGAAAATGCACATCCATTCACATAGAGAAGTTTTGTTCTTCCCTTTCTGGCACCTCTTAAGAGAATAACGTGCTCCTAGAAGTCCCACTTAGCCAGGTATCCTTCAGGATTCACATGTGCATGCGAGTGTGCATGCGGGTGTGCATGCATGGGGGTAGGGAGAGAGATTAATGACTTGCCTGCATCGCCTTTCAAGTGTTTTCATGCCGTTTCACACTTCAGATGCAAGCCCACCTCCTGACCCATTTACAGTTGTTCCGTGCCTAACTCACTTAGGGTAAAGAAAGCCTTTGTATAGTACTCCAGTGGGAGGTGATGAGTCTGAGAAACACACGGGCCCTGCGGACACCAGGAACACTCCCTGGGAAAAGAGGTGGGCCTGTTTTTCCACTTCTGTCCTGTACCACCTCACCCTCCCTGGTGCCCTTACAGAGAATGCCAAGGGTGAGACCTTGGAGCTGTTCCAGTCTGTCCACGGGTGGCTGATGGTGCTGTATGAGCGGGACTGCCGGCGGCGCTTCGCCCCCGAAGACCATTGGCTGCGAAAGTAAGCCCTGGGCTGGGCAGAAGTGTCCAGTGTTGAGTATTTGTGTTCTTAGAAGGAAGGCCTTTTCCTTCCTTCATGCTGTCCGTAGCCTGCAGAGAGGACTCCGTTCCCACAGAGCCCCTGGCGGAGTACACCGCCCAGCATCGCTTCTGTTGCACTAGTATCGTTACCAAGTTCATTAGTAGCAGCAAAGCCAGGCCATGTTCAGCTGCTGTTTTTACCTAGACTGGGAAGAAGTGATCTTTCAGCTCATCTGAGCAATGGGGTGGGAGAATCCCATGGGTTTTTGTTTGTTTGTTTGTTTGTTTCTGATTCCAAGAACTTAAACTCGTTATCTGACGCTTACTTTTGCTCATTGGCTGTCATGCTACCTGAACCACCCCTCTAACCCCCCCAGTACTGCCTTAAGCTGGGGGTATGGTTGGTTCAAGTGGTAGAATACTTGCCTAGCAAGCATAAGACTCTGAGTTCAAACCCCAGTACTGCCAATAGGAAGGAAGGTTAGGCTTAAAAGTGGGGGGCCGGGGGAGAGGAGGGCAGGGCAGAATGGGGGAGCAGGGGAATCCTTCCACAGCAGGTACTTTTTTTTTTTTTGGTCAGTCGTGGGGCCTGGGCACTGTTCCTCAGCTCTTCAGCTCAAAACTAGCACTCTACCACTTGAGCCACAGCACCACTTCCGGCCTTTTCTGTTTATGTGGTTCTGAGGAATGGAACCCAGGGGCTCATGCATACGAGGCAAGCACTCTACCACTGAGCCACCTTCCCAGCCCACACAGCATGTCTGTCAGTGACATGTCAGCATTTACGTCACTGCCATAGCTCTGACTCCAAAGCCAAGCTTCATGAAAGTCATGAAGGGCCAGCTGATTTTAGGCTGAGGACCATAGTTTTGTTACAACCACTACCTCCGCTGTCCTGTGCATGCGTGGACAGACATTAACTTTGCAGAGGCAGGCCTGATCAGGCAGAAGTTGGCCCACGTGCTGTAGTTTGTGAGCCCAGCATTAAGAGACCTGTGTTTTGTTGCTCTGCTCACCAAGCCCCGGGTCTTCCTTCCTCAGGGATCTCAAGCCCAGCGTGCTCTTCCAGGAACTCGACAAAGACCGGAAACGGGCACAGCTCATCCTACAGCATATCCCTCATGTCATTCCACATAAAAACGTGAGTTTCAGAGGGGACAAGGCTCCTGGTATGTCTTGTCTCTGCCCCCAGGCCCAACTCTGAGTCTGTTATGGGATTGGGAATGACTAAGTGACATCGCTCATCACACATGCTCACACGCGCACACATAGTGATCTGACTGGGGCACACGATGCTGCAGGCTGGTACAGGTGCAGAGAAGGCAGTGTGGCTGGTAATGTGGGTGTCGAGGGAGGTGAGCTGCTTACAGAAGAGGGGAAACAAGGAGAGTGTGCTATCACCCGGGGGACTTGAGACCTAAGAAGGTCAAGCGCAGGGTCAGGAGCCGCTAGGAACTATGGGAATGCATGGCTACATCCCTGACGAGTAGTGGGCAGTGCTGCTGGGTGCCAGGCCACGCCCAGGCCCAGCCGGAAGAGACCAAGAGGCAAGGAGTGCACCTTTCTCGTCTGTTCTTTCTTTTTTCTCTTTTGATAGGTATTTAACAAAGAGGAGACACGTGATTTTCATAAATTAAATCCTACTTTTTCAGAGGTAGCCCTTCTGCTCTCTGAGACTAGCTGATCTTGGCACTTTTTTTTTTGTCATGGGCTTGAATCAGGGCATGGGCGCTGCCCCTGAGCTCTTTTGCTCAAGACTAGAGCTCTGTCACTTGGAGCCACAATGCTACTTCCAGTGGTTTATTGGAGATAAAACTCTCAGAGTCCTACCCAAGCTGGCTTTGAACTGCCATCCTCAGATCTCAGCCTCTTGAGTAGGTAGAATGGCAGGTGTGCACCCTGCTCGACCTTGGCTTTTATACACACACACACACAATGGCAGGTGTGCACCCTGCTCAACCTTGGCTTTTACACACACACACGCACACACACACACCCATCCCGTCACACACATACACACACAAATACACACCCATCCCCTGTCTCTGAGTGGAGCTGTAAGTGGTAGAGCGCTAGCCTTGAGCTGAAGAGCTAAGGGACAGCACTCAGGCCCAGAGTTCAAGCCCCACGACCGACAAAAAAAAAAAAAGACAAAGCAGGCCTTCTGTCTGTATCTTGTAAATCATGGGCCATTCCTCCTCCTTAACTGGTCCACTGCTCTGTAACTTCTCCTCTTGGTCTTCAAACAATTCCAGAAGGCAGATTGCTAATCTATAAACTAAGAATCCAATGATCTGCAGCCAGCCCCCCCCCATTTTTTTTTTGTTTTTTTGTGTCTTCTGTTGTCCAAGTGTGGTAGCTTCAGCTTCTCCAGTAGTTCTCCCATTTCCAAAGTCATCTCTGGCCCTTCATCACCTGACTGCCTGCAGTTTGGTAATGTCTGATTAAAAACACAGCCCCTTGTCCTGGACCTGTGTGTCTAGGATCTTGTATTTTTGACCTTAGCATCTCAACCCTGGCTCCATGACCTGCAGTGGGTGTGCTGGGGTGCCTAAGGCTGCCAAAGGAGTTTAAGTCTTTGAGGGTTAGTAAGACACACATGATCCTGTAGCCCGAGGGCCACCTTCACCTGCACTGCCTTCTTTTCAGTGGTGAGTGCAAACCTAGGGATTTTGTTTATTTGGGGTTTTTGGTTGTTGTTGTTATTGGTACTGAGGTTTGAACTCAGGGCTTCAGCTTGCTAAGCAGGCTTTGAGCTATACTCCCATACCCTTTTTGCTTTGTTTTTTTGAATACTGTTTTGTACGTCTTGCCCCAGGCCGGTCTCTACCACTTAAGCCAGACCTGCAACTCCCCAGACTACTCTTTTTAGAACATTTCTCCCTTGGTGCAAGTTCAGCTGGATTTTAAATTCCCAAAAGTGCTCTCACAAGACTCCTCCAGCCCAGGACACATACCAAGGCCTCCCATTCCACTTACATCCCAAGGGACTTCAAGTTCACTCATTTTGTGGCCTGATTTTTACAGGAACAGTCACTTGTACACCTTGTTTCTGGTCCTACCCTTGCTTCTTCCAGAGAGTTCTCTTGTTCCGAAACATGGTTACCAAGGAGAAGGAGAAGCTGGGGCTTGTGGAAACGAGCTCTGCCTCCCCTCACGTCACTCATATCACCATCCGAAGGTCCCGGATGTTGGAGGTAAGTGAGAGTTCCACAGAGGCCCTGAGTCAGTAGTGGCTGCTGTGTCTGTAGGATATGACGAGGGCTGTTGGTGGTTGGCATCCTTCTCCAGCACATTCCTCACTCAGCAGACCCTCATACAGTTCCCCCATCCCACCCCACCCCTCCTGGGTGCCACTGCTGATGGAATCCCACTTGGCTCTGCTTTTCAGGGCCATGGAGGAGGAGGGTCCAACTTTCCCTGTAGAAAATGTCCTCCTCTGTTTTGGCAGAAGCCTCCTTTGTCCCAGAACCCCAGAGGTTGTGGTTATTTGGACCTGAGAGCCTATGGCCTTTGCTTGGTATGCCCAGCAGGGGGCGTCAGGAAGCTAACTCCTAACTCATACTGCCTGGATTCTTACTCTGCCTCCAAAGTGGTTTGTATGGGAGGCCACACGTCTGTGGGCCTCCTGGGCTAGCTCCAGTCCTGCAGGCCACCTCCCTCCCCAAGGCTAGACTCAAGCCGCAGCTCCAGTACCTCCAAATTGGAGGAATCTCAGGTGTGATCTAGCCCAATCTTTGCTCTGTCAAAAGCACACCTAAGGCCAGAGAACTTTACAGAGTCTCAAATCAGGTATCGCTGACTCCAAAGCCAGGATTGGGAGCCAGGCCTGCCCTTCCCAGCTCAGCGTTCTCTGTGTCCTCATGGGGAGATGTGGGGAGTGGGCAGGCCGTTGCCTTTCCAAGAGGCCTGTGTGGTGAAATCTGTACCCCACCAGTCCCTGGAGGGCAGGAAGTATGCAGGTGGCTGGGGGCCAAGCCTCTGATGCCTTCTAACGAGGCTCTGGCAAGACAGAGCTGGATCCTGCAGCCATTCCTGAGGACAGCCATGTGCTAAGAGCATCATACACTGTCCTTTTAATCCCCACAACATCTGCTGAGGGGATTAAAGTTGGGAGGTGAGACTTAGAGCAGAAGAAAACCCTGAACTCCGAGGGAGTGCACTGATTCCTCCGTGCATCCTCAGAGGAGTGCCAGGAGAATGAGCCTCAACTTGCTCACTGGGTTTAAATGCTGCTGCAGCTGCGTGCGTCTTCGTGTTCCTCTCAATTTTCCTTCTAACTTTATGTGAACAAGAAATGCTTTGTGGATGTGTGGGCAACACTGTGTTCCTATTCCTTGTTGATCGAAGAATGGCCTTCACAGGTCATTTCTCCCTGGCTTGCTGACCCTGCAGTCTAATCATGTAGGACAGTCCTTTAGATTGCTAAGTGAGTCCAGCAGGGAGGCAGCAAGGGTTCCCCCCCAAACCCATCTTGCTATCCTGGCAGATTGTCTCTTGGCTTTGTGACAAGGTGACCAGACTGAAGGACAGATGGGTAAGTGGATACTGTGGAAATCCATCTAATACCAGCAGAACATGACCAATGCTGCAGTTGTGACAGAGGTGTGAAGGTTGATTCACAACTCGCTGTGTGACCATGTCTGCAAGCATCAGTTTGGCCCTGGTGGTAAGGTAGGGTCTCTGGCGTTGGGCCAGAAGACCCCTCCCTAGGCTGTCCTGTTCACTAGAGTCCAAAATAAGAACCTCAGTGCCCCATCTACCAGGAATGCAGAGAGGGACAGTCAGAAGCCAGGAAGATTCACCATGAAAATGCATTTGCACGCTGAACCGTGAACAGAGTCCAGGAGCTGGGCAGGTTGTGCTCCAGATGGAAGCCATGTGAATGGCTAGATTTTGTTGTTGCTGGTGGCTTGCGGGGGAGGGGTTGTTGTTGTTGTTGTTGTTTTGGTAGTGCTAGGGATGAAACCCAAGGTGTCATGCACACTAAGCACACACTTGACCCCAGTGCTGCACTGAGCAAAAGGAGCTGACCCACAGCCCAAGGTGCTGAGGCTCCCCTTCCCTGCTGCTCCTACCTCATCCAAGCCTGGCATCTTTCTGCACCCTTGTCTGCTTCCCACCTTGTCCCCCGCAGTCTGCACAACCCAAAGCCAGCCAAGTTGCTCCCAACCCCCTGCTCTGCTCCCGTTGCCCTCAGCCTGATTCCTCCCCAGGGTTCCCACAGTCTGAGGAAAGGCTTCAGGAAGAGGGGAGATACTTGCATCTTACGATATTCCAAAAGTGCCTTCTCCCTGTGAGCTTTAAGAGGCACTTGACATTCAAAGAGGAAGAGAGATCAACCTGTCTGGGTTTTCATCATCCTTTGATGGCTGGAGCTTGTCTTGACGCATTCTGTCTGAGGACAGTCTGGTTTCTCGGTGTCCTTCCGAGCACAGTGTCCCCTTGCCAAAAGAACAAGCACATTCCATCCCCAGAACGAACCTTTCCGTTTCACAGGCCCGTTTCACAGAGCTCCTGTCCTTGCAGGCCTGCTGGTCCTGATTTGCACATTGAGTAATTACACCAAGCAAGCGCAGGGTTGCCCTGGGCTAGGCGGCTGCTCCTGGCTTCCTACTGGTCTGTGCTTGTCCCGCAGGACGGCTATGAACAGCTTCGGCAGCTTTCCCAGCACGCCATGAAGGGCGTGATCCGTGTGAAGTTTGTCAATGACCTTGGTGTAGACGAGGCTGGAATCGACCAGGATGGCGTGTTCAAGGAGTTCTTGGAGGAAATTATCAAGAGGGTGTTCGACCCAGCACTCAACCTGTTCAAGGTGCCGGAGGGGGTGTGAGTGGGGCTGGCAGGGGCTGACACAGTGGAGAACGAGGCGGGTAACCTCTCTGCCCTCTCTGCCCTTTCTCCTGGCAGACAACCAGTGGGGATGAGCGGCTGTACCCCTCCCCCACATCCTACATCCACGAGAATTACCTGCAGCTCTTCGAGTTCGTGGGGAAGATGCTGGGGAAGGCTGTGTATGAGGTAGGCCATGAGCGTGGGACCGAACTTTAAAATGCAACGTGCCGGGCTCCACAGCCTTCATAAACAGCCACGTGTTAAACAGCCCGAGGAAGTAGGACCCAGCAGCATTTGCACGTGCTTTACACGCGTCATCACGCTCGGTCATCTCAGTCCTGTGGCGTGCTGCTGCTCCCCCTCTTCACCAGGGCGAGAGAACCAAGGGTCTGAGCACTTGCTCATCCACTCTCCTCCCTAGCTCTTCAGTAAAAGCAGAACTCAGGCCCAGGCCTGCCTGGGTCCTCCACCAGCCCTCCTCCTCCTGAGGTGTGGTTTTGTTTTTGTTCACTGTGGTGATGGAATGGAATTCAGGGCCCTCCATCCTAAGCGACATCTGCCACAGAGCTTCGCTTGGAGCCCGGCTTTGAGTAAGCACTTCAGAGGGAGCCAGGCTCCTGGGCATTGGCAAGACCACCCAACCAGCACGGCCGGGGATAGAGCAGAGGCAGATTCCATCCTGGCTGGGGACTGAGGCCACAGACAGGCGTCCAAGGGGAGAAGGCATGGACCCCCTTGTCCTGCACTTGCCTGGGAGCTCTGTGCACAGTCTCAACACCCAGCTCCTCACCTGCAAAAAGGAGGGCATCTGGGGCGATTCCCACTTACAGAGTAGGAACAGTTCAGTCCTACCTGGACAGATGCCATGTCCCCTTTAGGTACACAGCATGGCGAGGCTCACAGGAGTCCAGCAGCTGAGACGTAGAGCCTCCTGGTCCTTCTGCATAACCCTCCACTTCCCAGGCCTGTGGCTTGTGCTCCTCTAGGCTGTGTTCAAATGTCACTTCCTCCTAGAAGCTTCCAGCCTGCCCCCAGTGAGAGCCTAGCCATACTCCTCTCCTTGTGTTTGTGGTGTAGAGAGAGTGGCATCGGTCACTGCTCCGGTCCAGCAGCTGAGGCTGGGCTGGCGCATTCACACGGAGAAAGGCCACAGCATTGGCCTGGCAGTGGCCTAGCCTGAATCTCCTCCAAGCTCTGTACCTGTGACCCCTGCACTCTAAGGCCCCCAGGTAGACCGTTGGTTCCTTAAAGGACCATGGAGAGCTCTAGCTGTCTAGACTGGACTCTTAGAAGCCAGTGGCAGCCTCAGGGCGCCCCCTGCAGCCTGAGCCAACCGCTGAGCCCGAATCCTGGTTAGGGAAACCGCAGCTTCGCATCTTCCCCCCCAGGGGATTGTGGTGGACGTGCCCTTCGCTTCCTTCTTCCTGAGCCAGCTGCTCGGGCACCACCACAGCATCTTCTACAGCTCCGTGGATGAACTTCCTTCTCTTGACTCGGAGTTCTATAAAAACCTCACCTCCATTAAGGTCAGTGCCAAGTGACGGGCGACACCGCTGGGCCCTGCGGGGGCCATCCACCCGCGGGGGTGACTGGCAGCCTGCTCTGCTCCACCTTCCAGAAGGTTCTTGTTCTAGTTGTCCTTTGCTCCCCGAGGAAGGGGGTTGAGTAACTTCCAGGGCCTGGTGCTCCTCAGCCCCAGCCAACCTCCCCGCTCTCTTTGTGTCAGCGCTACGATGGGGACGTCGCAGACCTTGGCCTCACGCTGTCGTATGACGAGGATGTCATGGGTCAGGTAGGTGGGCCGTCCTGAGTCCTGCCCTCCTGCTGGTGCTTTCCTTGCAGGGAGCTCCACAAACTTTGCATCTGACAGGGCTGGAATGTGGCTTTGTGGCACAGTGCGTGCCTAGCACGCAGGAAGCCCTGGGTTCGACTCCTCAGTACCACATAAGCAGAAAAAGCTGGAAAGGGTGCTGTAGCTCAAGGGGTGGAGTGCTAGCCTTGGGCCAAAGAAGCTCAGGGACAGCGCCCGGGTCCTGAGTTCAAGCTGCTGGGCTGGCAAAAAAAAAAAAAAAGCAACTTTGCATCTGTCATCCACTCTCACCTCCTTCCATTCCTCCTCTGAACTGCCTCCCCACACACCTGGCCTTGGCACACCTGCTTCTAGGAGAGCGTCCCACAGTGTGCCCATGTTACCATCTAGAGTGTCCTGGTGGGCTTGGTTTGTACTGTTTGCACTGCCCTGGTGATGATCAGCATTACCAATGGAGATGCTGGCTGGGAGAGCCCAGGCCGCCCCAGGGCCTCCGGCAGAGCGTGCCCTTGCTCCCTGCTCAGTAACGGAGCTAGGCCAGGCACAGTGGCTCGCACCTGTAATCCTACCTACGTGGTCCTTAACATCCTCTCAGCACGAGCGTTTCCTGCCACAGGACACACTGCTGTGGCTTCCCTCCCAAGTGTCCTCTGCCCCCCTCCAGCTGTGTCCCGGGGAGGCCCCTGTGCGAGGCTGTCTGTGTGGCTGGCCTGGGCTGCTCTGAGCCTCCGCCCGGAGCCTGTCAGTACAGAGCCGGCTTCCTAGATGCAGCCTGTGACCTCAGAGCCCACCCTGTCCCTCTGAGCCACATTTCCAGATCTCGTAAAAGCAGCAGTTGCCAGATGTGAGTCCTTGGTGGGACCAGTGTCTAAACCCGGGGGAATTTTTGCCAGTCCCACCTGCTTCCTGGAAGTCCACTGAGTACCATGATGTATGACACCCCCCTCCCCAAGACCTGCAGGAAGAAAGCCCAGCGTGGACACCAGGTTGCGCCGGCTCACCTGCCCACAGAGCTCCTCCTTCAGAGAAGGGAAGGGCACTTGCATGGAACAGTTCTCTGTTTTTGTTTTTGTTTTTTTAAGTAATTTCATTGTTATGAAGGTGTTGCAGAGGGGTTACCATTTCATAAGTTAGGTAGCAAGTGCATTTCTTTTTTGAAAATGTCGCCCCTTCCCTTCCTTTCCCTCAGTTTCCCCTTCCTTTCCTTGCCTACAAGTTCCTTAGATCATTTCAGAGCGGTTCTGTAGAGAGTACTGGCAGTCAGCGTGTTCCCTGCCACCAAGAGAAGCATCTCAAAACACTGAGTTATGCTGTGTACATAAAGGTGAAAACAAACCACCTGTGATGCCATACCTAGGGGTAATTTGTAGTATGCTGCCCATGTACTTCTAGACTTTTCCTCAAGGTGTGTGTGTGTCTGTGTGTGGGTGTGTGAGTGTGCATGCGCATGTACACGCATGCGTGCATGTGAAGGATGAGGTGTAGAAATGATACCACACCATCTACCCTTTTATCTAATCTCTTTTTTCATCCTTTAAATAACTACACACTTAGACCCGCAATCCTAGCTTCTCAGGAGGCTGAGATCTGAGGGTCTCAGTTCAACGCCAGCCCGGGCAGGAAAACCATGACATTTTATTTCCAATTAACCACCAAAAGGCTGAAAGTGGAGCTATTGCTCAAGTAGTAGAATACCAACCTTAAGCAAAAAACAACAACAACCACCAAACTGAGGCTGGGCACTGGTGGCTCACACCTGTAATCCTATCTACTCAGGAGGCTGAGATCTGAGAATCACAGTGCAAAGCCAGCCTGGGCAGAAAAGTCCTTGTGAGACTCTTATCTCCAGTTAACCACTCAAAAACTGGAAGTGGAGCTGTGGCTCAAAGTAGTAGAGTGCTAGACTTGAGCAGAAGAACACCCAGGCCTTAAGTTCAAGCCTCACAACTAAAAAGCAAAAAACTCAGGGACAGTGCATCCCATACCCTAAGTTCGAGCCCCAGGATGGGCAAAAAACAAAACAAGTATACTTACTATATTTTCTACTAGCTGCACAGTACCATCATTTATTCCATGCCCTGCTTGGTCCTAAATACCAACACATTTCCCTCCGTGACATCCTGGAGCCTGATGTGTTTGAACCAGGATCCTCCGAGCAGAAACTTTTCATAGTGCTCATCTGAGGTCTGCTTATTGTTGCTTTGACCCTGGGGATTTGTGGGGGGGCTGGGGGGAATCACTCCCAAACACAGCGTCTTAACTCCATCATTCTCATGGATGTCAGCACTAGGCCCTTTCAGGAGGCTTTGTTTCCAAGTTAGAATTCTGTATTAATGACTCCCCTTTTCCTCTCCCCCGCCCCCTCCCCAGCTTGTCTGCCACGAACTGATTCCTGGAGGGAAGACCATTCCTGTTACAAATGAAAACAAGTGAGTACAGCAATTGGATTTTTAAGGTCACCACTTGAAAAGACTTCATTCTGGCTCTCTGGGCTTAGGTAGAGAATTTATTAAGATAGATGGAAGGCGGAAGAAGCCATCAATGTCGTAATGGAATTTGATGATTACAGCTCATAGTTGGAATTGTATTAAATTCAATTTGCAAGCTAAGAACAGACTTTATTTATTTATTTATTTATTTTGCAGTCGCTTTTTTAAGGTCAGGGGCCCTGGGGCTACAGTGTTAGGGAAGTAATGGTGGCTCTTGATGAGACAGGTGAATCCTGAGCCTGCAGACACAGGGAGGGCAGTGGGACAGGGACATCTTGGTGGGACAGCTCGCTTGGATGATCAGTGGAGAAGTCAGACCCAGCAATGTGTGTGTGGGGGGGGGTTATAAATGACAACAGGTGTGGGACATAGAGCCCCCCCCCACCCCCCAGGGCAGTCACCTCTGCCAGGTAACCTAGCAGAGGGAGGTGGTGAGAGCTGCGTGCATGTGTGTGCGTGTGCGTGTGTGTGTGCGTGCGTGTGTGTGCTGTGTGTGTGTGTGCTGTGTATGTAGCACGTAGAAACAATGGCCAGAGGACGGGAGATAGACGGCTTGTGTTGGAGTGGGATTCCTATCCTGCCTTGGAGCTGACATAGAAACTAACTTCAGAGTGTCTGGTGTTCTGAGCCAAGATATCCAGGCCTGCACAAAATCTCCCCTCCTTGATCCCATGATTCTAGCTTCCTCTCTTTTTCTCTTGGTTAAAACAACATGAGAAACCTCCTTGCAGGATTATTTGAGAGTAGGGATGGTAATAGAAAATTCCTATTTGAATGTGTTACTATACTGGATTTTTTTTTTGGGGGGTGCCGGTTGTGGGGCTTGAACTCTGGGCTTGGGCGCTGTCCCTCAGCTCTTCAGCTCAAGGTGAATGCTCTACCACTTGAGCCACAGCACCACTTCCAGTTTTCTGGTGGTTTATTAGAGATAAGAGTCTCGTAGACATTTCCTGCCCAGGCTGACTTTGAACTGTGATCCTCAGATTTCAGCCTCCTGAGTATCAGCTAGGATTACAGGCATGAGCCCCAGCACCTGGCTTCACTGGGTATTTTTTAAACTCAGATTATCAAGGTTAGAACTGGGCATGATGTCTCAAACCTGTAATCCTAACTACTCAGGAGGCTGATAGTCTGAGGATTGCGGTTCAAAGCCAGCCAGAGCAGGAAAGGCTGTGAGACTCTTATCTCCCATTAACCACCAAAAAGTTGGAAGTGATAGCATGCTAGCCTTAAGCAAAAAAGCCCAGGGACAGCACCCAGGCCCTGAGTTCAAGCCCCAGGACCAGCATCAAAGCAAAAGAGACCTGAGCATTGTAGAGCAAAACAGATTTAGTTGGAACTTGTGAGTTGTCCTTGGGCTGAGCTCAGGTTCTTTCGTCCCTGAGTCAGTGGTTTGCTAAGAAATCAGCTGTGCTTCCAAGTGTGTGAACATGTTTAACCTGGCTAAGGGGCTTGCATCATCGAGAAGATCCCAGAGGACTGAGCCACCAGCTCTCTGCTCTGATGCACTGTTGGTTGCCTAACCCAACCGTGTCTGTGCCACACAACCTTCAGCACTAATCTCTTTCTTCATGCCTTTAGCCTCTCGGTCCAGCAACACTTGTGCTGACATGTCAAAAGGAAACCGTTTCTCAACTTTTAACGTTATTGTAGGACTGAATCTTACCTTAATTGATGGTGTCCAGAAGAATGAGAATTAATGAGAACTTTAGGAGCTGTGGGCAGTGTCTCACTGTAACTCCTGACGTCATGAGAGGGAGGTGGTCCTGCACTAGAGCCGGGCGGGGGTAAACACACGATGACAAGGAAGGACACTTCATCATGGGTGCCCTGGTCATTGTTGTGGGACCATTTGTGTTTCACAAAGTGGTATAGAAATGCAGCCATTGGGCAGCTGCCTGCCCCATCATCATGTGCGGCGTCTCCTCTCCCTTGTTCACAGAATTAGCTACATCCACCTGATGGCACACTTTCGAATGCACACTCAAATCAAAAACCAGACGGCTGCCCTCATCAGCGGGTTCCGTTCCATCATCAAGCCTGAGTGGATCCGGATGTTCTCCACCCCGGAGCTGCAGCGGCTCATCTCTGGAGACAACGCCGAGATCGATCTGGAAGATCTGAAGTAAGATTTCAAGGTTTCTCTGCGGGAGCAGAGAAGGGCAGCATGCTTGGGCCTCACAGAGGGAGAGCGCTCCCTTTGGCAAAGCGGCAGCGGGGCTGGAGGACGGGGGCTCACCAAAAGTCTTAGCTGATGGCATTGTGGGAACTTGAGCTGGCTGCTCAGAAACAGCAGGGCTGGCTGCGGAACTCCGCCTCGGTCACTGCCAGGAAGATGAGGCCATAAAGGAGCCTTAGTGTTCCCCAGCCCCGCAGACTCGCCCATCGGGACGCTGCTGAGCCCCTTGTCTGCATTGTTTTCAGGAAGCACACCGTGTACTATGGCGGCTTTCATGGAAGTCACCGGGTCATCATCTGGCTCTGGGATATTCTGGCCTCCGACTTCACGCCTGATGAGAGAGCCATGTTTCTGAAGGTATCTTATTCTTTATTACCTACACGTATGCACTTGGTGTGTGATTATTCTCATGAATCTAGAAGGCCACACCAGGAACGAGGGAATTTTAAGAAGATCCTAGATCTAGATCCTAGATCAGCCTGGTCCCTGGGCTGGTCTACCCCTTAGGCCAAGCAGAAACCAGAGAGGTTGAGGCCACGCCTGCTGCCTGCCCCTGACGGTGGGGCCGGTCCCTGCATAGCAGACAATCATAATCCACAGCATTGAGTTCTCAGCTATCTATGTGCCTGTCTACCAAGGATCTCTCACACACACATACGCACACCACACACAGTGTCCCAATAAAACATAATGTAGGGCTAGAGGCATGGCTCAAGTCTAACAAGCATGAGGCCCTAAGTTCAAACCCCAAAACAAACAAACAAACAAAAAACAAGGTGGCACTGGCTCAAGTGGTAGAATACTTACCCTTAGCTGAAGAGCTCAGGGACAGCACCGAGGCCCAGAGTTAAAGCCCCACTCCTGGCACAAAAAATTAAAAAAAGAGGGAGAGTTAACAGTTATTTGAGCCAAGCACCAATGGCTCAGGCCTGTAATCCTAGCTACTCAAGAGGCTGAGATCTGAGAATCTCGGTTCAAAGCCAGCCCAAGCAGGAAAGTCTATAAGATTTATCACCTAGCCGGGCGCTGGTGGCTCACGCCTGTAATCCTAGCTACTCAGGAGGCTGAGATCTGAGGATCCCGGTTCAAAGCCAGCCCGGGCAGGAGAGACCGTGAGACTCCTATCTCCAATAAACCACCAGAAAAACTGGAAGTGGCGCTGTAGCTCAAGTGGTAGAGCG